CTTTCCACAGAACAACTGTGTCAACTCTTGAAACTGTGCCTGCAGTCAACCTACTTCACATATGGGGAGCAATATTATAGGCAGAAACATGGGTGTGCTATGGGGTCTCCAGTTTCTCCTATTGTTGCCAACCTGTACATGGAGGAGGTAGAAAAGAGAGCCTTGACGTCCTTTTCAGGGACACCACCAAGTCATTGGTTCAGGTATGCTGACGACACCTGGGTTAAAATTAAATCTCAGGAAGTCCAACATTTTACTGACCACATCAACTCTGTGGATAAATACAAGTTCACACAAGAAGATGTAAAAAATGGCAGGTTGGCTTTCTTGGACTGTGAGGTCTCAGTCTCTGATAGAGGACATTTGCAAATCGTGGTGTACTGCAAACCCACCCACACAGACCAGTATTTGCAGTTTGACTCCCATCACCCTTTGGAGCACAAGTTAGGAGTCATCAGGACTCTGTATCACAGAGCAGACAGCGTCCCCACTAGCTCGGGAGCCAGGCAGAAAGAGAAATCCCACACAAGACAGGCTCTAGAGCAATGTGGATATCCTAACTGGGCCTTCCTGAAAGCAGAGAAGAAACCCAAACAGGACTCCAGTCAGCCAACAGGTGAAAAGGAGGAACCCAGACCCAGACCAGTGGTCATTCCGTATGTTGAGGGAGTATCAGAGAAACTGAGACGTTTATTTTCTAAACATAACGTCCCAGTGGCTTTTAAACCCCAAAATACATTATGGCAAAGACTGGTTCATCCCAAAGATCCAGTCCCCCGGCACAAACAGAGTAATGTTGTGTATGCAGTTCAGTGTCAGGAGGGCTGTGATCAGTCTTACATCGGGGAAACTAAACAGCCACTGGCCAAAAGGATGGCCCAGCACAGAAGATCAACATCATCAGGCCAGGACTCTGCGGTCTTCACTCATCTCCAGGCCAGCGGTCACTCTTTCAAGGATGAAGATGTGCACATCCTGGACAGAGAGGAACAATGGTTTGAGAGAGGAGTAAAGGAGGCCATCTTTGTGAAAAGAAATCGTCCATCGTTAAACAGGGGTGGAGGCCTCCGGGTTCAACTGTCCCCCTCTTACAATGCTGTGATTGCTAGTATCATTCAGCCCTCTGTGAACAGTAAACAGCCATCAGTGTGCTAATGATCCATTGTTAGGCTGATGGTCCTTCTTGAGCATGTGATCAGCTGGTTTTGGTTGTCAGCAGCAAAACTGGTTGATCCACTCTGAGACGGTGCTATTTAAGAGACTGAGCTGAATACAGCTCCTCAGACTGAGGAAGTCTCTTGGATGAGAGACAAAACGTTTCTACATTTTTTTGTTGATTTGCTTTGTTTTGTTTTTTTGAATGTCCAGAGGACCAGATTTAACTTTTTTAGAGAAGAGAATAGAGATTAGTAACAAGACTGAGATTTGGACGCACTGGACTGAACAACACATTATTCACACTACATAAACACGAAACAGGAAATTGTCAGTATTGTGGAGAGACAGAAACAATAGAGCATGTGATTTTGAGTTGTCAGAGATATGAGAGAGAAAGAAGACACATGATGGAGGAACTTAGAAAGATTAAAGAAACATTAAATATCACAAACATACTACAGAAAGAGTCAGGAAGTAAAAGTGTAAAAAATTTGATAAAGTTCTTCATTAAAACAAAGCTGATCGATAGGATATGATTAGGACAGACAACGCATACACAAGTAAAAAGAATTTATTCATTTTATTTTTTTAAAAAGCATTCTGACCCACACTCCATACCAGTAGGTGGCGGTAATGCACACCATAAGTTGTTTGCCAACCGCCAATAAAACTGAAGAAGAAGAAGCAGAAGCAGAAGAAGAAGAAGAAGACGCGCAGCGCGAGCGAGGAAAGCTGAAAACGGCCAACATAAGTGTTCGCGTTCGTGTTCGGTTCAATATCGTCAGATACAGGTAAAGCAAACAGATATTTTGTGTTAAAATCAAAGCGTGGTTAGTGTTTGTTATTGAACGGACGTTTTGTTTCACTTTGACTCTTTAGACAGTAATTGTAATCGACAGTGTTAGCCGTAGCTGACTGTTCGGGCTGATTTGCTAAGTTTGTAGCATTTGTGGTGTTGTGTTTGTGTTTTAGGACACGTGTGAAGCTCTGGTCCGCTGAGAGGTTTCTGCAAGTGTCTGACAAGTGGAAGAAAACTCAAATCTTGCACCGATCTCATCCCCTTCAGCCCCGTAAACCGTAAGTGGTTGTTTATTATCAGTTATCTTGTTTACAATGCAGCAGTAAAACTTTTTTTTTTTTTTTTTCACAAATCACCTTTCATTTACCAGTTTTAAATTGCTGCTTAGATTAAAGCATATAATTCGTGTTAGATTTACAGTACTGATACAATACAATACAGTACTGTATGTCTAACAGGGCCCTGGTGGTTATTATACCGTAGTTTAAACATAAATCAAGAGTACAGGTGCTGGTCATAAAATTGGAACATCATGAAAAAGTTGATTTATTTCAATAATTCCATTCAAAAGTAAAATTTTGTATATTATAGTCTTTCAACACAGACTGCTATATTTCAAATGTTTATTCTTTTAATGTTGATGATTATAACCAACAACTAATGAAAACCCCAAATTCAGTATCTCAGAAAATTAGAATATTGTGAAAAGGTTCAATAGTGAAGACACCTGATGCCACACTCTAATCAGCTAATTAACTCAAAACACCTGCAAAGACCTTGAAATGGTCTCTCAGTCTAGTTCTGTAGGCTACACAATCATGGGGAAGACTGCTGACTTGACAGTTGTCCAAAAGACGACCATTGACACCTTTCACAAGAAGGGCAAGACACAAAAGGTCATTGCTAAAGAGGCTGGCTGTTCATTAATAGAGAGGCGAAGGGAAGAAAACGATGTGGTAGAAAAGTAAATGGTAAATGGACTGTACTTATATAGCGCCTTTCTATCTTATTTCAAGACACTCAAAGCGCTTTACACTACAATCTGTGCCTCATTTACCCATTCATACAGCACTCTACTAGATCTCTACAAAGCTAATTGAACAAATCATTCATCATAAAGAGACTAATCAGAGTTTTAGATCACATTCATACACTGATGGGACACGCATCAAAGGCTGTGAGGGGTTCAATGTCTTGCCCAGGGACACTTTGACATGTGACTGCTGGTGGATTCAAACCCCCAACTCTCTCATTGGAGGACGACTGCTCTAACCACTCAGCCACAGCCGCCTGTGTACGAGCAATAGGGATAATTGCACCCTGGAGAGGATTGTGAAACAAAACCCATTCCAAAATGTTGGGGAGATTCACAAACAGTGGGCTGCAACTGGAGTCAGTGCCTCCAGAATCACCACGCACAGATGTATGCAAGACATGGGTTTCAGCTGTCGCATTCCAGCTGTCGCATTCCATGTGTCAAGCCACTCTTGAACAACAGACAGCCGCAGAAGCGTCTCACCTGGGCTAAAGACAAAAAGGACTGGACTGCTGCTGAGTGGTCCAAAGTTATGTTCTCTGATGAAAGTAAGTTTTGCATTTCCTTTGAAAATCAAGGTCCCAGAGTCTTGAGGAAGAGAGGAGAGGCACATAATCCACGTTGCTTGAGGTCCAGTGCCAAGTTTTCACAGTTAGTGATGGTTTGGGGTGCCATGCCATCTGCTGGTGTTGGTCCACTGTGTTTTCTGAGGTCCAAGGTCAACACAGCTGTCTACCAGGAAGTTTTAGAGCACTTTGTGCTTCCTGCTCATGACCAACTTTATTGAGATGCAGATTTGATTTTCCAACAGAACTTGGCACCTGCACACAGTGCTAAAGCTACCAGTACCTGGTTTAAGGACCATGGTATCTCTGTTCTTAACTGGCCAGCAAACTTGCCTGACCTTAACCCCATAGAAAATCTATGGGGTATTGTGAAGAGGAAGATGTGATACACCAGACCCAACAATTCAGAAGAGCTGAAGGCCTCTATCAGAGCAACCTGGGCTCTCAACACCTGAGCAGTGCCACAGACTAATTGACTCCATGTCACGCCGCATTGCTGCAGTAATCCAGACAAAAGGAGCTCCAACTAAGTATTGAGTGCTGTACATGCTCATACTTTTTCATGTTCATACTTTTCAGTTGGCCAACATTTCTAAAAATCTTTTTTTTTATTGGTCTTAAGTAATATTCTAATTTTTTGAGATACTGAATTTGGGGTTTTCATTAGTTGTCTGTTATAATCATCAACATTAAAATAAATAAACATTTGAAATATATCAATCTGTGTGTAATGAATTAATATACCATAATTCACAGACTTTAGAACGTACTTGTCTCTAAGCCGCACTTATTAAATATAAGATAAATCATAATTTGTACATAAATAAGATGCTCCAGCTATTAAGCCGCAGGCATCCACTGTTCAGAATCTGTGCCCAGTCTGCTCTGGCTGTGTGTAACTTTCTTCTAGTACAAGAACCAGCCAGCAGGTTCATTCAACCTTTAGGGGCCGTTTACACGGCGCATACAGTGGGGAGAACAAGTATTTGATACACTGTTGATTTTTCAGGTTTTCCCACTTACAAAGCTTGTAGATGACTGTAATTTTTATCATAGGTACTCATCAACTGTGAGTGATGGAATCTAAAACAAAAATCCAGAAAAATACAATGTATGATTTTTAAATAATTAATTTCCATTTTATTGTGTGAAATAAGTATTTGATCATCTATCAACCAGTAAGAATTTTGGCTCTCACAGACATTTTAGTTCTTCTTTAAGAAGCCCTCCTGTTCTCCACTCATTACCTGTATTAACTGCACCTGTTTGGACTCGTGACCTGTATAAAAGACACCTGTCCACACACTCAATCAATCAGACTCCAGCATCTCCACAATGCCCAAGACCAGAGAGCTGTGTAAGGACATCAGGGATAAAATTGTAGACCTGCACAAGGCTGGGATGGGCTACAGGACAATAGGCAAGCAGCTTGGTGAGAAGGCAACAACAGTTGGTGCAATTATTAGAAAATGGAAGAAATACAAAATAACGGAAAATCTCCCTCGGTCTGGGGCGCCATGCAAGATCTCACCTCGTGGAGCATCATTGATCTTGAGGAAGGTGAGGAATGAGCCCAGAACTACACGGCAGGACCTGGTCAATGATCTGAATAGAGCTGGGACCACAGTCTCAAAGAAAACAATCAGTAACACTCTACGCCGTCAAGGATTAAAATCCTGCAGTGCACGCAAGGTGCCCTTCCTCAAGCCAACACATGTCAAAGCCCGTCTGAAGTTTGCAAATGACCATCTGAATGATCCAGAGGAGGAATGGGAGAAGGTCATGTGGTCTAATGAGACAAAAATAGAACTTTTTGGTTTAAACTCCACTCGTCATGTTTGGAGGAAGAAGAATGATGAGTACAACCCCAAGAACACCATCCCAACCGTGAAGCATGGCGGTGGAAACCTCATTCTTTGGGGATGCTTTTCTGCAAAGGGGACAGGACGACTGCACCATATTGTGGGAAGGATGGATGGGGCCATGTATCGTGAGATTTTGGCCAACAACCTCCTTCCCTCAGTAAGAGCACTGAAGATGAGTCGTGGCTGGGTCTTTCAGCATGATAACGACCCAAAACACACAGCCAGGGCAACTAAAGAGTGGCTCCGTAGGAAACATCTTAAGGTCCTGGAGTGGCCTAGCCAGTCTCCAGACCTGAATCCCATAGAAAATCTTTGGAGGGAGCTTAAAGTCCGTGTGGCCTAGCGACAGCCCCGAAACCTGAAGGCTCTGGAGGAGATCTGTATGGAGGAGTGGGCCAAAATCCCTGCTGCAGTGTGTGCAAACCTGGTCAAGAACTACAGGAAACGTCTGATCTCTGTAATTGCAAACAAAGGTTTCTGTACCAAATATTAAGTTTCATTTTTCTGGTGTATCAAATACTTATTTCACACAATAAAATGGAAATTAATTATTTAAAAATCATACATTGTATTTTTCTGGATTTTTGTTTTAGATTCCATCACTCATAGTTGAAGAGTACATATGATAAAAATTACAGTCATCGACAAGCTTTGCAAGTAGGAAAACCTGAAAAATCAACAGTGTATCAAATACTTGTTCTCCCCACTGTATTTTAAGTGAATCTGCTCCTTTCTGTCTGCAGTTCTGCTGATTATTTACACAAAACCAGTCCCCCCCCCCCCCCCCCCCCCGAATCCGGAGGTTTCTGAACCCACCTTCCAGAGTGGAGGTTTTTCGGTGACTGCCCGCTGATAAAGTAAACATCTCCCGCTGAGGCTTTGTGTTAAACCACATGCGCACACGCACGCGGACAGACGCTATATTTCTATCAACATGGCGGCGGACACAGTGCTTTCTGAACTACAACTGATGGAATATATTTTTAATCTCGTAGTTAATCTACGTCAGATTCTAGGTGCTGTGACTGACATCTGTGTTGGAAGAGACACCATGGTAAAGTGAGCCTCCACTCGGCTCCGGCCGTGTTAGAGACACAGTCTGATCCAGTTCTAATGTCGCTGTTTATAGAACGTGGCATGCGCACACGTCACGCTGCACTTTAACATACTAAATGTGCTAAATAATAACAGTTTAATAATAATAAACAGTATTTATCTTAAGTGTGAGATATATAATGAAGCTCTCTGAGCTAAATGAAGCTATCTGGACATTATATAATTCAAATTATGTGATTAAAATATTGCTAAACATATTGCATGGTATTAACGTTGAAAATGAAGACATCAGGTTTAATTTTTATTTATTTATTCAACACCACAAACTGTATGTCACACAAACACTGACAATTAAACTGAACCCTATTAAAAACAAGTTAACCGTAAACTACATTAATGAACAGGACTCTTGTTTTCATCCTGGATGTCCCATGTTGTCCATCTGGCTCGTTCAGGCTGTCACTCCTTTGATTAATGCAGCTAAATTCAATGGATTGAATAAAAGAACCGAGGGGAATTTTAAATAAATAGTTCATCCAGCATCTTTGTCTTCGACGTCCTCCTGCGCTGCACCTGGGCCGAGCCTCGTTCAGAACCAGTCCGCCTGGTGGAAGGACAGCTTCTTCTTCTTTCAGGAAAAATAAAAACTCAGCTGGTTGTTGTGTGATCGAAGTAAACACAAGCTAACATTATTAAGAACGTTGATTTATCTGCTGTAAATCAGCTACTGATTATCATGGAGTAAAGTCCGACAT